CTGATATTCGAGAAGATAAAGAGGCCATCATCACACGTTTCTTGCAAGCGCTCAATTGAGAGATCATGAACGTGGTGGAGATTCATCCCCTCGTTGAACTAGAGGAGTTGGTGTCATTGGCCATCAAGGTGGAGAGACAACTAAGAAACAACCTTGTAGGAAGGTACCCACCTCCCTCAAGGACACCAAGGCCAAGTTCTTCAAATACATCAAACCCTAGGCCAAGCAAGCCCAAGCAAGAACCACGAAAATATATGGTCAAGGTTGAGATTCCAAACCCTAGGGAAAGGCAAGCAAGCTCTAGTGGTGGAATTCAATACTTTAAATGCCATGGACGAGGGCACATTGCTAGCCAATGCCCAAAAAAAGGGCATTATTGCTCATGGATAATGGGGAATACGTGTTTAAATCTGAAGAAGAAGAAGAAGAAGAAGAAGAAGAAGAAGAAGAAGAAGAAGAAGAAGAAGAAGAAGAAGAAGAAGAAGATGTAGAGAAACAAACATATGATTTCGAAGTGGATGAATCTATGGAGATTGAAGCCCCTCCGAGAAAACTCATTAAGAATTTTGAGTGTACAACCTACGGATGATCTAGAAGAAAGGGAGAATCTGTTCCAAATGATATGCTGGGTTGATGTAAAATTGCTCTCGATTGTGATGGGTAGATGAAGTTACACGAATGTAATGAGTGCAACCATGGTGAAGAAGCTAGAGTTAAGCACATTGAAGCATCCAAAACCCTGCACGCTTTAATGGCTCAATGAGGATGGATCTATTAAGGTCACGAAACAAGCTTTGTTGTAGTTTGAGATTGGAGGATACAAGGATGAAGTCCTTTGTGATGTAGCGCAATGCAAGCGGCACGTGTATTGCTTGGAAGACCATGACAGTTTGATCGAACTGTACCACGCGATGGAGTAACCAACAAGTACAAGCTATCACACATGGGTCAAAAATTCATGTTGAAGCCTCTATCTCCCAAGGAAGTCTATTAGAACTAACTTCAAATGCAACAAAATAGGGATAAGGAGAGATTCAACCCAAATCCAAGCTAAGGAAGAATAAAGGTACTAAAGTTGTGGAGACAAATGGGTTGTTGCTTGCTCGCAATAGTGAAGTAAAACAAACAATAAATGATTGTGAACCTTTGATCATGGTCATCTACAACGGCGTGCTACTCAATAACGAATTGGTTGAAGATTTCCCACCTAGGGCACCAGTTCTCTTGGAAGAGTTTGATGATTTTTTTCTCGTGGAAGCTCCAAAAGATTTACCTCCCATCCAAGGGATAGGACGACTGAAGAGACCAAAGAGCTCCAAAAGAAAATTGACGAGCTCATGAAGAGAGGGAATATTCATGAGACCTGATCCCTTTGCATTTTCTGTTATTCTCGTGCCAAAGAAGGATGGATCATGGAGAATGTGTGTTGATTGTCGAGCAATCAACCAAATCACAGTTAAGTATACACATCCTATACTTGGTTTAGATGATATGCTTGATGAATTACATAGTTCTAGTATGTTTTTGAAGATTGATTTGAGGCCAGGTTATCACCAAATCCGAATGAAGGAAGGAGTTGAATGGAAGACTGCTTTTAAAACGAAGCATGGTCTTTATGAATGGTTGGTGATGTCTTTTGTATTTTGACTAATGCTCCTAGTACTTTTATGTCGTTGATAAATCATGTGTTAAGAGCTTTTATTGAGAAAATGTGGTTGTCTGCTTCGATGACATTCTGATTTACTTGAAGAGCAAGGAGGATCATCTTGAGCATTACCGACCACTCTAATGAAGCAGAAACTATATGCAAATCTCAAGAAGTGCATATTTTGTACCTCAAGCGTGGTGTTTCCTGGCTTTGTGGTAAGTTCTAATGGAGTGGAAGCTGATGATGATAAGGTTAAGGCTATCCAAGCGTGCCCTACTCCTACTAATGTTAATGAAGTGAGGAGCTTTCATGGTCTAGCAGGTTTCTATCGAAGATTTGTTCCAAATTTTAGCATTATAGTCGCACCATCAACCATAATCATCAAGAATAATGTAGCTTTCTATTGGGGAGAAGAGCAAGACAAGGCATAGCTACTCAAGTACAAGCTTCCTCATGCTCTTATTCTGATGTTACCCGATTTCATCAAGACTTTTGAAGTAAAATATGATGCATCAGGAATGGGAATTGGTGTCATGTTGATGCAAGAAGGGAAGCCATATCCTACTTTAGTGAGAAGTTAAGTGGACCTATGCTTAACTATCCCTACTTATGAGCAGGAGTTGTATGCATTAGTTCGAGCTTTGGAGACTTGGCAACATTACTTGTGGCCAAAGAAATTTGTTATACATACTGATCAGGAGTCTCTCAAGTATTTGAAGCCCAACACAAGTTGAACAAGAGGCATGCTTGTTGGGTTAAGTTATTGAGTCCTTCCCATACGTGATCAAGTACAAACAAGGCAAGGAGAATGTAGTTATTGATGCTTTATCAAGAAGGCATACTTTGATCACAACCATGGATGCTAGATGTATTGGGTTTGAGCAAATTAAAGGGCTATATGAGGACGATTTCAACTTTGGAGAGATCTACAAGCCAAGTGAGAAGCATGGAGAAGGAAGATTCTATAGAAGTTATGGGTACATATTTCGAGGAAATCAATTATATCCCAAGAACATCACTTCGAGAATTTTTGTTGAAGGAAGCTCGTAGAGGAGGAATAATGGCACACTTTGGTGTAGCCAAAACATTGAGTCGCTTACAAGAGCACTTTTATTGGCCTCGTATGAAGAGAGACATGGAGAGCTTATGTGCAAGGCGTGTGCAATATCGACAAGCTAAGACTAAGGTACAACCTGTTGGGTTATACACACCTCTGTCGATACCATATTCTCCTTGGGTTGATAAACCGATGGATTTTGTGTTGGGATTGCTGAGAACAAGGAGAGGCAAAGATTCAACTTTATGGTCGTGGATCGATTTTCCAATATGTCACACTTTATTCGATTTTCCTTGGGTTGATATACCTCACAACAAAATCCTTTGGTCGAAATTGAGAGGAATTTTTGTGATTTTAAGGATTTCATTTTCGATAAAGCTATATGTCAGAGCTTCGATGGTTTGAGGTTAAAAAGTTGAGCGGGTCGTGGATCAACCACAGTCCACGAGCACCCACTCAATCTTTTGTGGGTCACCTATTTTACAACCCACACCCACCCATAGGAACCACCCACATAATAATAGGTGGGTCGATTGCGGGTGGTTTTGGGTGGATTTGTGGGTTCAACCACCCAATGCTCACCCCTAGTCGTGAGAACTTCCAGAAAGTCCTCCAAAGCTTTCCAAATGCCCTAAGCTCCTAATTCTTTAGTACTAGTAGATATCATTTTAAAGAGCACAATTAATCTGATTTATTGTGAAAAAATTTAAATTACAACTTAAAACGAAACAAATATCATCCATTAAAATTTATAGGGAAAATTTTCAGATACTTTTTTGACAAGGGATCACTTATATTGCACAACCAACCGAAAACATTGTTGAAAAGTTACACAAGGAGCTCAGAAATTAAATCAAGGATAACAACCCAGTCACTGGGGAGAGAGTGATTAAGGAGCGATCTGGCCACTAAGTCCGCTCTGGTATTGAGCGATCGTCTGATGAATCTCACTTTGATCATTGGGCAACTGGAGAGGATTCCAGACATGACACTCAGCAGGGCGGAACATCTCCACGGTCGTACCAAGAGAAGATTCTGAAGAGCTATTACCAAAGTGAGGCAATCCGAACAAACCGTAATAGGGCAATTTAATCCTTGAGTTAATTTGAGAGCTTCCAATAGAGCCTTCGCTTCTGCTTCGATTGGGGATGCGCAAAGAAGAGTCCTAGCTCTCCCATCACAAACTTGACCGTGGTTGTTGATGTAGACCACGCCATAAGCCGCCCTCCTGGGAATCATTTCGAAACGATCCATCACAGTGAATCTCATAAGAGAGATTGCTCGGCGGTAGTGCAAGCTGATTCTGGGTATGATTGAGCTGGGGGTGAGAAGCCGGTGGTCTCGCAACAGGGGCCTTGCAAGAGACCCATTCATTTAGGTCTCCCATCGCCTTGGAGCAAGTCGGGGGCGGCCACGGAAGAGCATTCCGGAAGACCTTTTCATTCTGTGTCTTCCAGATGTTCCACATAGTGAAAATGACTTGAAGGATGGACTGGTAAGGGACATTATCCTTCAGAAAGAAGAGCCACGTGAGAATGTTGACCGTGATCGGTGGCGTGCTCATGATCGGGAATAAATGTTTCCAGGACTCTTTAGCATGGTGACACTCAAAGAGGCAATGGTGGATGGATTCCAATGGTGCATTACAGATCGGACAAGCTGTGGACGAAGAGCATTTTCGATCATGCAAGCGGCTTTTTGTAGCCAACGCCTTCTTTTCAACTTTCCACACAAAAAACTTCAGCTTCGGAGGAAGCATGAGGCTCCAAACCCATTTCCATCTCGCTTTGTCAAGTGTGGAAGTAGCTTGGAAACCTTGATCTTGTGTCCTTCTGTTGTCATGGAAAGCATGGTAGGCTGTCATGAAATAGAGAAATCGCCTTTCTTGGTGAACTTCCACTCCCAGAAATCCTCTGCCGCTTGACTTCCAATTGGCACATTCTTGATGTCCTGGATTCGGTGGGGAAGAGCTTTGAGTAACAATGCTTGATCATTCCAAGTTCGGTCTTCTTCATTGATGAATTCGTCCACAAGTTCTTGTTGCTCAACCGTACCATTCAACTTCCCCTCAGGCGTGTTCGGCAACCACTTGTCGTGGAAGAATTTTGTCGATTCCCCATTTCCAATGACCCGAACAATGCCACAATCCATCATGGTTTTTGCAACCTAGGAACAATGCCACAATCAATAGTGATATAGCAGGTTGTGAATGATTGTTGACAATAAGTTTACTGACCAAAATTGCTACCATTATTAATTATAAAAGTAGCATATGGATTTTGCATTCCAGAAAAAGAGATCGGGAAATATAAAACAGAAATTAGTGGCTTGCTTATAGTTTCCAATTTCCACTCGTCACCACCACCACCACACCACCTCTCTCAATTCTCCTCTCTCTCTATCTGTTTCATTTCACTCCGACTCTTTCCTCCGTCGATCGCTTTCTCATCCACCCACCCTCTCCTCCCTCTCTCCCTCTCTCTCTCTCTGGCCACCATGAGTAAGGGACCGGAGATCTTCGCCAATATCGGAAAGAAGGCCAGAGGTAACTCCCTCCCCTCCCCTCTCTCTCAATCTCTCTTCCTCGAGTAATTCCAGCCCAGAATTCCATGTTCGTCATTCTTTTCTCAGGTCTTAACCCCTTTTGTATCTGAAATTGCAGATCTGTTGACGGCGGGATACAGCTCCGATCAGAAATTCACCGTCTCCACCTACAGTGGCCCCGTCGGAGTTGTATGTTGGTCCTCGCCCTTACTCGTTTTATTGTCACTCTGGTCCAGATGCTACCGGCTTGTGATTGTGTAGTTTGAATTTCGCTAGGCCAGTTCAGGATTCGGTTTGCGATTCCATTTCTGATCTCTAATAAAAACAGAACGTCTCCCAGTAGAAGGTGCTATCTATAGTGTTAATCTCGAATTCTGTGTGTCGATTGCGGCCTGCTTGAAAACCGCTTGCTCTGGGTTGCACTTTGTGCAAAATTTTGTTTGCCAGACCCTCTAATTGTCTGTGTCATCTTTTCTGCTATCTGTTTTTGCCAATGGAGAATAAGCTGTAGTGAATAGTGATGTGCCCGATTCTCTCTGAATTGGCGGATCCAGTTCTCCCTGTTCATTTAAAATTCTCTTATCATTTCTCCTTATATGCTGAGGTTGAAGTATTGAATTGAAGTTCCCTTTTACGAAGACAGTTGCGTGGGTTGCATTGATAATCTTTCAGTATTACTCTTGCTCAGCATATCAAACATTTTGTAGTGCTGCGATTTGGCTACGTATGGTGTAACAGAAATAGAAATGATACGTGGTCTTGTGTTTCCCTCTTGGGATTTATTAAGACTTATTGTTTAGAACTCCATTCACGAGTACAGTCTCAGTTTACAACTTTGATGGTTGAGACTGTGTGTTTTTCTACTTTACTTCTCTTCGACTATTTGGCATCAATCTCAATGTATGCTGCGTATAGCTTCAATTGGGTGGTGAAATTAAATTGAGGAACTTGAACACAGTTTTTCTGCGTAAAAAGGCTAGAATGTAAACCATGTTAGGGTCTGGCTACTGTTTTCCATATTCTCTTTGTTAACTATTTGCATTTAGCTAGCGTGAATTTTGTTTCATTTTAGCTGGGATTCACCCCCTCCCCAGGTTCTCGATATCCTGGAGTTCTGTCAATCTTGTCACCATGCCTTGATTTTAACATTGCCTTCATCATTAGGATGCTAGCTCTTGTGGTTCGAGCCAAAATGTTATCTCTGCTTTGTTTCTTATCTAGTTCTTTCCAATGAACTCGACAAGAAAACTATGCACTCTCAACTGTTAACCTTTCTTGTATTTTCTCTTCCAATATCTGTTCGCTATTTTTAGTGTGTTTCATTATGTTTCTCAGGCTCTCACTTCAACAGCTTCTAACAAGGGTGGACTCTCCACGGGAGATATTGGTGTCGTGCACAAGTACAAGAACCACATATTCGATGTGAAAGTCGATACGCTATCTAATGTATGTTTCTTTTACTTAATTAAAGCCAGCAAAGAATGGATAATCTGTACCTCTTGTTCGTCTAAGCGTATAACATGCTCTTTTCCCCTGTTTTCTACAGATTGCAACCACCCTCACATTCAGTGATATCCTTCCATCAACAAAGGCAGTTGTTTCATTTAAGTTGCCTGATTATAACTCTGGCAAGGTAGGAGTCAAATTGGTTAAGCTAGAAATTAATGTCTACTAATTCTGAGTAAAGTAAAAACATAATATCAGGAGAACGTGAGACCCAAATGCAGTGGTTTGCCTGGCACTGTAATAAATCCTTGCCACTTTTCTTGCAGTTGGAGGTTTTATATTCCCATCACCATGCAACTTTCACCTCTGCTGTTGCCTTGCACCAACAGTCTCCAGCAGTTGATGTTTCAGTCACTGTTGGTACTACAGGCATTGCGTTTGGCGCTGAAGCAGGGTACAATACTACTTCTGGTAGTTTCACCAAGTACACTGCTGGGATTAGCATAACAAAGCCAGATGCCTATGCTTCAGTTATTTTGTAAGCCCTCTGCCCATCTGTTGCATGTTCATAAACTATTTTATTCTGTCGCTACTCACTAGCTGTGTGTCTTTGTCATAGGGGTGACAAGGGTGATACCATCACTGCTTCATACACTCACCATCTGGACGAGTCGAAGAGAAGCGCAGCTGTGGGTGAGATCATGAGAAGGTTTTCGACCAATGAGAATACTTTCACTGTTGGTGGCTCACATGCCATTGACCATTTGACACTGATCAAGGGAAAGCTGAACAACCATGGGAAACTTGCAGCACTTCTGCAGCATGAAGTAATACCGAAGTCACTGATGACCATCTCTGGGGAAATCGACACCAAGGCCTTGGAGAAACATCCCAAGTTTGGCGTGGCAATTGCTCTCAGGCCTTGATCGATCTCTTCGGGGACAAAAAGTTGTTTCGAAATTCGATTCCACATTGTTTGGAGAACTTTTATTTTGGGTTAGCATCTCTTTTCCAGTCTCATGGACGGGGCACTTAAAGGAAGTGTGAATAAGTAGTTCCACAGGTTTTGCTAGGATTTGAAGTTGCTGTGGATAGACACTTTTGATGCACCCGGTCTCTTGGACGATTGAGATATTTTTCTATGTTCCTCATTCGTAATGTCTTTTGAATTATGAATTTGAGTACATCATCAAGTTAAGTTGGGAGAATTCAAATTTCATGCTTGTAAAAAATTTTCCAGGTAATTTGAATCAAGGGTTTCGAAATGAGGAATTTGGATTCAAATATCTCATTTTGAAAAGGTCAAACATCGTATATTTGGATTTTCAATGGAGAAAACGAAAGTACAGTTGTCATCCTCCCCCTCTCGAATTTATGGGCAAAATCTTTACTTCATCCTTTTCAATTAAACTAGCTTTGAGCCCGGCCTATGGCCTGATCTATTTTCATTTTTTCTTTTCTAGTTCACCTTTGACTCTTCAACATAGGTGATGGTTTTTTGGTAAGTCCGTGATAACTTTTTTGCTTCTTGCCACTCTTCAACATAGGTGATGGTGAGGCAGTGACATCGATGCAAAGAATTTAGTAAGAAAACCTTCTATTGTTAATGTTATCATGCGAATCCACTTCACTTTCTATTGGACAAAAAATTATAAATTATAAATTAAAGTGATAAAGTAAATGCAGAAAACAATATGTAGAAAGATGTCTCATGACCAAATATTGCATGATATCATTTGGGGGTTTTCTTACACTCATAAACAAATAAGAGGATTTGTTGCCCAGACAACAACGCCGATAGTTTTTGTATGAATCGTAATATCTTCTGGATTGTCAATCGTGATCCTAAAGTATGCATGACTGAACCAATGAAATGTGAACGATCTCAATCAATTGATTATAGTTTTTCCCCCCTTTCTTTCTTTGAGAAACCATGAGGGGAAATCATGACTAACTATTTGAAATTGAAGCCACTATTTGGAAACCCGTGCACTTAATCATGTCGGTTTTGTACATTCAAGTGTCGTAAATAAGGTTTTCAAATGAGACGAAAAACAACTTAGTTTGAGGGACTACCATGGCATGTGTTGTTGCCATCTCCTCCATCATTTTATATCATATTTCTTGAGTTCAGTAATAGTGTAGACACTAAAATTCTTCTATACATACATCGAAAAATCTTCAACCGTGACTGCATTATGTTCTTATTATTGGTGTTCAGCATATTTACTTTCGTGGTACACAAAAATTGCAGCCCTCATGTTACACATTGGGTTATACTCATCAACCCACTGATCTCCATACCTATGAAAGCGCACACATATATATAAAGGAAGTTAAAGGGATTGAAGGACTCACATAGTGTGATACCTGGAAGAGATGGCAATGACATTTAACTTAGTAAGTTGAGATTCGGGAAAAAACTGATCAGGAAACAAAATTAGATTTATTAATTGACATGTCAAGATGTTTGTTTGATTCAAGTATAAATTTTGGATGATTGTCTAAAATGTTGTATTGAAATATGAAGATTTTTCATTTTCTTTGAAATGTTGTATTTTATTTAAATACGAATGTATATTTTAGAGAGATTATCTTCAAATAACTTATATATATTGCCTAATTAGTAAATTCATTTAATTTTAGTGATTCCCACTTTTCTTAGTATTTTGCTTAAATCGACATGAACTGACATAAATTGACATAAACCATTTGACTAAGGGCTCCTTGTGACCTAAACCTGTGTCCCTCACCCAACCACGTTAGAGACGTCAAAACTCCAAGAACAACAGCAATGGAAGCCAATCACGAGGATTCCTGCAAAGCTCTCCCGGAGCTTCTTTCCTCCTTCGTCGACACCTTCGTCGATTTCTCCGTCAGCGGCGGCTTATTCCTACCCGCCTCTCCTACTTCTCCGTCTCCACCACCAGCCACATCCGCAACTCCACAAGATGGCGCTCTCCCCCCTCCCGATCCCTTCCGAACTCGTTACCCTACTCCCAGCCGGCTCATCGCCATCGGAGATCTCCACGGAGACCTTGAGAAATCCAAACAGGCCTTCCGCCTCGCCGGCCTCATCGACGCGGCCGATCGCTGGTCCGGCGGCTCCTCCACTGTTGTCCAAGTCGGCGACGTGTTCGATCGCGGCGGTGACGAGCTGAAGATTCTCTACATCTTGGAGAAGCTGAAAAGGGAAGCCGCTAAGAGCGGGGGCAATCTGATTACAATGAACGGGAACCATGAAATCATGAACGTAGAAGGCGATTTCCGCTTCGCGACTCGATTAGGGTTCAAGGAGTTCGAGGATTGGGCGTTTTGGTACCAAATGGGGAACAAGATGAAGACTCTCTGCGCTGGCTTGCCAAACCCTAAAGACATATTCGAAGGCATCCCTAGAGCGTTTCACGGCGTAAAAACGGATGCTTTGAATGGAATCAGAGCTCGAATCGCTGCTCTGAGGCCCGGCGGCCCTGTGTCCACCAAATTCTTGACGAACAATCTAACTGTAGTTGTCGCAGGCGATTCTGTATTTGTACACGGCGGATTGTTGCCTCAGCATGTTGACTACGGCCTGGAGAGGATGAACAAGGAGGTGAGGGACTGGATTTCCGGCTCCATGGGGAGATCTGCGCCGAGCTACTGCAAAGGAAGGGATGCTGTAGTTTGGTTGAGGAAATACTCCGAGGAAGTGGCGTCGAAATGTGACTGTTCTACGCTCGAGCATGTTCTCGCGACGATTCCTGGAGCGAGGAGGATGATAATGGGGCACACGATTCAGGAAGGCGGGATCAACGCGATATGTGAGAACAGGGCGGTCAGGATTGATGTGGGGATGTCACATGGTTGCGGAAATGGCTTGCCGGAGGTTTTGGAGATCAATGGGAACTCGCAGGAGGTAAGGATTCTGACCTCTAACCCATTGTATTACAAGAACAAGGATAGTTACAAGTCTGGTATAGAGGATAGTGGTAGCAGGAAAGATGGCGTTGGGTCGTTGGTTTCGTTGAATAGGTTGCCCCAGGTGGTTGAAGTTAAGGCTTGAAGAGGTTTGAAATTTGGTTCTGGTTGTTATCCAGCTATGTTAGTGGGAATTAGGATTGGTTGTTTAGACGAGCTTTCCCCTGAATTCGTGAAGCATTGTTTTGTGCAATCAATGAACAGATTGGAAGCACCTCTTAAATTTTTAGCCAAGTTTGCTGCATATGTTTGGTGCACCGATTTCGATTCTTTGATTTCTTGATTGGTGTGTGCATAATTAGCTTCTCCCATGAATGAGGTCCTCGATTTCCCACTTGCCAGTTTCTGCCATTGGGGTAGGTGTCTGGAACTTGAGAAGCAAGTTAGAAGTGTCAGCTGTCTGATACAAAAGGTTTATCTTCATGTATGTATTGTAGTCGTACACAGGAAATCCTTCTGTGGGCAGCATGCGCAGATTCCTGCACTGCCCTCTACTGACTGCTCTCTAGAGTTCTGCTCTGGAAATTGAGAAACCTGGAAACGGCACCCTGCTGCTTGAGTTGGGTTCAGGGGTTGCGTTAGGGAATTTGGTTCTGAGGATCGAATTTACGGTCCAGATTCGTGGGGTGGATTAACCATAGGCTATAGAACATTCTGATCTCCATGGTTGCTTGGTTTCATTGCGCGATTCTGATCTGAGCATTGCCGCTGTCACAGGCTTTCGTATTAATCAACCAACATGAAGAACAATGAGCAATGAGTTGTTCTTTTCAGCTGTTCAATGAAAAGAAATACAAGGCATAGAGTAGCCGGGTTCTGTTTTCATTTACTCGATGAGTTCCCCCCCCCCCCCCCCCCCCCCCTAGTTTGGTAAATTAAATGTTCTTGGCGAATGGTAAGACTTGGAAGTAAATTGGCTGGCAGGGGCCGTGACCATTCATCTCTGCAGATTGCAAGTATGATTCACAAGAAACTTTGCAGATTGCGCCTATGTTATGCTCGTTGGTCGTTACTTCCCTGAATATGCGCAGCTCAGTCAGTCAATGTTTCATGATTTCAGGGTCTAATTTGTTTGGCATTGCAGTCTGCTCCGATCCTTTCTCGAATGGTGGAAGAGGGCTGTCCATGTTGCTGGGGAAGATGCTGACAGATAGCAGGGTAGCGGTGGCAAAAGCAGCAGGAGCAGCTCGATACGCGTGGGGTAGCTACGGAGAGGTTAACATCCAACCAACCGAAACCCAAAACCTATTCCTGTTTACTTTCAATAGTGTGGAGATCAGGGACAGGATTTGGAGGGACAGGCCATGGAGCTTGTCCAACACTTTGACGGCGATTGAGAGGTACAATGGAAGGGGAAGGCCTGAAGATGTCCCAATAGAGAAGATGGCAATGTGGGTTCAGATCCATGGTTTACACCAAAACCAAAGGAGCGAGGAGAATATGATGGCAATCGGTTCAAGCTATTTCCTGGAGCTACTGGATCTTGACAGAGCTAGCCTGGAGTACACTGGTTACAGGAGATTTCTCCGCATTCTGGTCGAAGTGGATATCAGGGAACCCATCCCAACAGGCTTCGAATTCCCGTTTCTGGGAGATGGAGGCCAAGTCAGGGGGGTTGGGCTGGGCGATAAGAATGTCGGGCTGGGCCAGGCGAGAGTTGTCCACACTACTCTCTCCCTTAGGCCTGTGATCCAGGAGAGTAATACCCAGGTCCAGGGAAATATTTACTTGGAAGATGTGGGCCTGTATCAGCATGTTGAGGAAGGCTTGGAGGAAGAAGTGGGCCGGGCCATGAAGAAGAGGAAAGGGACCAGCAGGCCTGAGTCAGCAGGCTCTTTTATTTCGGATGGGGCAATCTACATGGGAGGTAAGAAAGGTGAGATCAGGAAAAAGAAAGGTCACAAAGGAAAGAAAGTTGTGCAAAGGGGGAGAAGATCAGAGGAAGTGGTGGAAGATCTGGAAGGAGCAAGGGCAGCGGTGGTTCGCCATAAGCCACCTCAGCCAAAATGAGTATAGTAAGTTGGAATTGTAGGGGGTTTGGCCCTCCCCTTACAAGAAGTTATGCGAAGCGTCTTTGTAGACGTTTAGGCCCTTCAATTGTTTTTCTTATGGAAACTAGCAAGAACGAGAGTTCATGGAAGAACAAAGAAGAAGTCTCAAAATTTTCCCTAATAAAGAGTATGTTGAACCAGTTAACTCTTCTAGGGGGTTTGCTTTGTGGTGGAAAGCGGGTATTAATATTACTGTATTAAGTAGTGATAGCTACTACATGGATGTTAGTATAGATATGGGTAGGAAATTTTTCTGGGGTCGTTTGGATGGATCAATTCAGAAATGAGTCAATTTGATCAATTGTCTCGTTTTATAAACGAGGCAATTAAAACGAGTCAATTCGAATTACCTGCCCCCACCCCAGGTAATTGAAATTGACTCAAAACGGATCAATTCAAAATACCTCAGGCAGATTGATCCATCCAAAATTTTTGTTGGCAAACGAGGCAATTTGGTACAATTGTCTCAAAACGAGACAATTGTGTCAAATTGATCCGTTACAATTTCTCATCCAAACGACCCCTCTGTACTTTTGTTCATGCACCCTCTACAGCTGTTAGTAGAAGGGAATTTTGGCAGCATCTGAGCTCTCTTCGGAGTAGTAGGGATGATAACTGGGTGGTTGTAGGGGATTTCAATGCTGCGGTTTATGAGAATGAAAAGGAGGGGAGATGCCCTCTTAGGTACGAGAATGTTGAACCTTTTAAGAGGTTCATTTTCCAGAATGTTCTAATTGACCTGGGATATAAAGGGGAGCCGTTCACTTGGACTAATAAGAGAACGGGCCAAAACCTGACTAGAGTGAGATTGGATCGTGTGCTATGCTCAACGTCCTGGCGTGCCCAATTTGGAGAAGCAGTGGTCTTCCATGAGAAAATGGTGGAATCTGATCACTGCCCGATCAGACTTGAGCTTCACTATCGAGGTAACAGGAGGAAGAAGACACCGTTTAGGATTGATGAAAGATGGCTGGAGAAGGAAGAATGCAAGGAGATAGTAGCCCGAGCTTGGGACCCGGGAGGCCAATCAACTGACCAACTGAACAAATGTCAAAGAGATTTAAAGGAGTGGGCTAAAGACTTTCATAAGAATAGTTTGGAAAGGGAGCAGGACATACTGTCTAAGCTCGATATTCTCCAACAGCCGCCAAGAACAACTGAGAATGTGGAGGAGAAGAGGTTGACTAGCGAGCTGACCAAGCTGTGGAGGGACGAAGAAGCATTCTGGAGTCAATGCTCGAGAGTCAACTGGCTCCAAAAAGATGATCAAAATACCTCTTTCTTTCATTCTAGCACTATCCATAGGAAGCATAGAAACAAAATTCTGAAACTCCAAGATGGAGATGGTAATTGGATCGAGGATGAGAATAGTCTCAAAAGACTAGCAGAAGGGTTTTACAAAGATCTTTTTAAGGCCAGGAATCCTATTCCTTTTAACCATCTGTTAGAAAACTTCCCGGAGAGGGTGACTACGGAGATGAACGAGGATCTTTGTGCTACGGTGACTGACGGGGAAATTAGGAAAGCGGTGTTCTCCCTTGAAGCTCGCAAAGCTCCTGGCCCTGATGGATTCTCAGGAAGATTTTATAGGAGATACTGGGATATCCTAGGAGACACCTTATGTCGAGAAGTTAGAGGATTCTTTGAAACGACTACCATGCCAGCTGGATAGAATGAGACCCACATTGCCATGATTCCCAAGGTCGACAACCCGGAGTTGATAAGCCAATATCGACCAATTAGCTGCTGTAATTTTAGATACAAGATCATATCTAAGATTATGGCAACGCGTCTCAAGAGGTGGACCCCCGATCTGGTTTCAGAGCTCCAAACAGCTTTCACTGGGGGAAGGCTTATTCAAGATAATATCATCATTGTCCATGAAGCCCTTCACCATTTCAAGAACCATAAGCTGGGGCGAAGGAGAGATATGATGCTGAAGTTAGATATGAAGAAGGCTTACGATATGGTTGATTGGGAGTGCCTGGAGGCTCTTCTCAAGAAGTATGGGTTTGACAATAAATGGTGTGGTTGGGTCAGTGCTTGCATTAGAACGGTCAGCTTCTCCATCCTGTTCAATGGAGAAGCAACTGACTCGTTCAAACCTTCTCGGGGCATTCGACAGGGAGACCCACTTTCACCTTTCTTATTCATTCTCATGTCAAATGCCCTTACCTTCCTGATTGATAAGGCTGTGGAGAGTGATAAGGTGAAGGGTATTAAACTGAATCCCATATGTCCAGTGCTCACCCATTGCCTGTTTGCTGATGACACAGTTATTTTCGGGAAAGCAGATTACCAAGAAGCGCAGAATATTATTGATATCATTGGTGAGTATGGAGCTATCACAGGTCAAGAAGTTAATATTAACAAATCTTCAGTTTTCTTTAGTGCTAATGTACCCGGCGATGTCAAAGATCATATAATCGCGAGCATTGGCTTCGCCTCCTCGAATTGCCACTCAAAGTATCTTGGAGTCCCGACGGAGTGGGGAAATTCGAAGAAGGAAACATTTAACTTCCTCATTCAAAGGATGGAAAAAATGGGGGAAGTGGTGTAGAACGAAAGTGATATAGGTAAGTTCGTTATCGTACGAACGGACGAGAGAGTAGACAACCCAAAGATCACAAGCGTTATTGAAGAGTTTTATTATGTTATTCTTGTCTCCCTTCCCCGTTGGCTTCCTGCCCTGCCTATTTATCAGGCAAACAAGGAAGAAACGTACAGTCAGTGAAATGAAAGGACACACCCCTTCACTCACTTTGAAGAGATAAACATCTCATTAAGGATATAGGATATAACGGCTGCATTAGGAAGCATGGAAGAAAAGTCTCCTTCTCTCTCATGGAGGAAAAGAAATCCTTCTGAAAGCGGTTATTCAAGCGATTCCATCTTATATCATGTCCTTGTTCTATCTCCCAAAAGCCCTCACCAAGAGAATGGACTCTCTCCTTAGTAACTTCTTTTGGTCAGGGTCAATGCAAAAAAATAGCCTCCACTGGTGCAAGAAAGAGATCCTTTGTCTGCCTAAGTCTGAGGGAGGCTTGGGCTTCAAGAGCTTCAATGATTTTAACCTTGCCTTGCTTGCAAAGCAGGCCTGGCGCCTTCTCACGACCCCAGATTCGTTGTGGAGCAGGCTCCTTAAAGGATTGTACTTCCCCAGAGGTGATTTTCTTAATGCTAAAAAGGGAAGCAGAGCGTCATGGATTTGGGCTAGTATCTGGGAGGCTAAGAAGGTGATTGGGTTGGGTGCAGTTAGAGTGATTGGTTCAGGTGAAGACTCGTGGGTCGATCAAGACCCATGGATCCCTTATTTGGATGGTTTTACTCTCAGGACTCGCCCCCAGAATCATCGAAAGGTCAACGAATGGATCGACCCGGGAGAAGGGAAGTGGAAGACGGATGTTATCCAGGTACATGTTTCAGGCTCGGAACTCGAAGCTATTCTCAGGATACCCATTGGGGAGGATGGAGCAAATGACTTTTGGGCATGGAACTTCAATGATGAGGGAAGGTTTACGGTGAGACCTGCGTACCATATGATTCACAGAGCAAACACCATGGCCCAACCAAGCGGGAATAATGATAAATGGAAATGGATTTGGAGCCTTCACCTCCCCCCGAAGTTGAAATTCTTTGTCTGGAGATGCTCCAGGAACGGGTTAGCAACGAAAGAGAGACTGCTCCAGAGGAAGTGTGCGCCCAACTCTTCGTGTCAGGTGTGTCAGTATCCCGTTGAAACGATTATTCACTGCCTGTTCCATTGCCCTCATGCCAAGGCGGCATGGAATGCGCTGTTCCCATCCCTTCCGTTACCCCCTCAGGGAACCTTGTTCTTTGACTGGTTCTGCTCCCTTAAAGATGTTGTCCATCAAAGCTCCTTGATCCATATTGTCTTCCTCTGTTGGAATATTTGGAAGGCAAGGAACGAATGCTCTTTCAAAGGTAGAGTCCCGCGGCCTCCGAAAGTGTGTCAACTTACCTATAAAGAGCTCACTGAATGGAATTCGTGTTCGAGGACCCCACCTCCCTTGCCATCCCTCCCAACTCAGCTTAGGGGAACCCAGTCTCATGCGAATCCACCGCCAAGTAATCAGCCTTTGATGGTTCACTGTGATGGGTCGTTCATTAGCGACTCCCAGCCGGCGGCATATGGTGTTGTTGTTGTTAACCACCATGGACAAGTGTGTGACGGGAGACCTGAGAATCTTCTTTGTTCCACCCCAATTGAAGCGGAAACTAAGGTCCTTCTCGAAGGAGTGAAATTAGCTCAAGAATATGGATCCGAGTGTACGGTTCAATCCGACTGTCAGGTGCTGGTTCAAGCTCTGGATAACGATCGCTCTCGATGGTCTTGGAGGTGTGCTGCCTGGATCGGTTCGATTGTTTCAATCCTTCGGACAAACCCTCTCATCAAAATCAAAGAAGTGCCCAGAACACTTAATGTCAGAGCAGATTGGGTGGCACATTCTAAAGCAAGGGCGTCCCTTCCTGATGATTGGATTAATATTCTTGATCTCATTTCTGATCTTCTTTAAAGAATTGTATCCGAGTTTCTCGGCTTTCATTTGATTGGTGGAATAAAAGTTGGTAATCTTTGTAAAAAAAAAAAAAAATCCTTTCTCGAATGCAAATAGTTCAAGTTGTTTGTTCTTCGTTTTGCGTTTGAGTAAATCAAATCAGTAGGCCATAAATAGAGCGAATACTTGTGATACAGGTGAGTATAGCAGGACTCACCTATCTTTTCGTATACTTGTGATACAGGTGAGTATTGCAGGATTCACCCAAGTCCGTACGAGGATACTGTTTCAGGAGTATATCGACATCACAGCAATCACCCAACACGTCCATTAGCTAGCCCCATCATCACAAAGATACTAACCACAAAATGAAACAAGCAACAAACATTGAATAAGGAGCTCATGCAAGATTAAACTACAAGGCGTTGATTATTCAGGACTGTTCAAAGGGGAATCAGACAAAACGATAGATATATGGAATGAATGACGAGACTACGAAAAGAGAGAATATCCAGAAAACTGTTACAGCAGCTAGTAACTGACGGCTTAGCCTGAGCAGACCAAAGAATCAAAGCCTAGGTTTAACCTGATAGAAGACCACACTTCCCTAAACCGTAGAAGAAACAACAACGCTAAAACCACCTTCTACCATTACATCTAAGAATACCACACACCATCTGTCTCTCTGTATAAACTGTAAATGGCTAATCAAGGTATCATTGATCAGTCATGGACTGATATCAATCGATTGTTCTAGCAAATCCAATATCATGAAAATAAACAAGAGATTTGGCAGAACATACATTCGGCCTGTAGGATTTAGTGATGCATATTTCCACGAAAAGCCTTCTGCTAACGACATTGCGAACCATAAGATGTAAAACCAGCACAGTGATTGTCGTATGATTCAATCAAACAAACAGTTGATGCCCAGCCCACTATGGAAACTATCTTTACCTACATTCAAAGCACCAACCACAGAGGCAACACCACAGAAATGGTGCGAAACTAACACAGCGACAAACAGCTTAATTCAAGAAATCGTAACATTATAAGCTCAACCACGGCTAAATCCAGTTGACATTGCCCACAATGAGATAACAGGAAACACATTTTACTAGTCGTAACTGAAAGTAATAACATCCAAAACTTGAATAATCCCAAAATTGTTCTCCAGGGACTAAGTAACCATGCTACCATTCCAAAATAGACTTCCAACAGATAAAATCAGAGCTATCAGAAAACAATAAAATGTTTCACCCAATTAATCGACGGTCTGCATGATATCCTCGGCGGTGAACTTGGTGCCCTTGTCCTTGTCGGCGGCGGCGCGTCCCTTGGCCTTGCGGTCGAGTAGCGACTTGCGGTCCTTGTCGAGCTTGAGCTTGGTGACGACGACCTTGGAAGGGTGGATCCCGACGTTGACGGTGGATCCGTTCACCTTCTCCCTGGTGATGCGCTCGATGTGGATCACCCACTTGCGGCGGTACACCTGGACCACCTTGCCCTCGCGGCCCTTGTACGTGCCGCGGACCACCTGAACCTCGTCGTCCTTGCGCACCGGCATGGACCTCACGTTGTACTTCTGGCGGAGGTCGGTGGAGAGCGGGGCGCTCATCAGGATGCGGCGGACCGATGATGGCGCCGTGAAGTGAGCCTTCCGGTTCTTGCGCCGGGAAGAAGACACCCTGGGATTGTACTTCATCGTGCCTGTGTGTGGTGTGTGGTGTGCCGACGGCGGCTAGGGTTCTGCAGCTGGTTCTGCGAAAATGAGAGAAGAACAAAAGGGCTGTTAACGGAAGTGGAAGCTTTTATAGTGGCCGAGATTAGGGTTTTTGAGAAGAAGAGGGGAGTGTCATTGGGCTGGGTTGGACTGATTAGATTTGTTTTATTTATTTATTTGGAGATGGGCTTTGGAAGGGCCAGCCAGATGTGGAAATTTGAAAACGATGGAATTTGTTTGAATTTCCATGTTTTACAAAAGCAAGGAATTGATTTGTGGAAATTGAATAAAATTCATGTTTGGATAGGGTTAGTTTTGTGGGAATTGATGGTGTGGAATTTGGAAAAAGAAGTAAGAAAACGTGGTAATGTCAAACTACTAGGGGAAGGTGTAGTATTCTCAATTACCATGAATGTGGTAATTGAAGCCAATTTCCATGGTCCAATTCCCATACTCTTTTTGCTCTCCCAAACGTGGGTTTTTAACCCAATTACTGCATTATGTGGTAATTGGATCCAATTACTGCATTACATTTCCACATCCAAACGACCCCAAAGCTTTTATTCTGCTAGAAGCCCTTTCATATGCTTTGGTCCCACAAAACTCTCCATCATTGGCAACCTCCCAAACCTCCAACGCAACCACCACCATCCCCCAAACCTTCCAAGCCGGTGAATTTGTCGATTTCATGCATACCGCCTCTCCTTCGTGAGCTCTTTTCTCCACCTCATTCATTAGTATCGGAGCACATGTTCTCTATGAGGTCATAGGCGATCCGGGCTCCATAGAAGTAAATCCTCCACCGGATGCCGTGTCCAAAGCTTGCCTGAACTCCCTTCTAATCCCATCAAAGAAGATGGTGATCACATTCCACTCATCGAGGCCATGGCTTGGGCACTTCAGCAAAAGCTCTTTGTATCGCTCGCAAGCTTCACTTAGGCTTTCATCCTCAGCTTGTACAAACTCTACATTCTCCTTTTGGGCTTTCATGGATTTAGCGGGTGGAAAATATTTGTCAAGAAAGGCCTTCTCTAGCTGCGCCCACGTGGTGATAGATCGGGGCGCCAGGTTTTGGAATCAATGAGCCACTCAACCTATTAATAAGAAAGAAAACATACGCAGCCGGATTGCATCATCGGACACGCCAGGATTCTTCATGGTGTCACAAATGCTACAAAATCTCCTCAAGTCATGACTCATGAGGATCTTCTGTACTTGCTCCAGAGAATGTGTAGCCATTTGTGATCATGTTGATGAACGATGGTGTGATGTCGAGATTGGTGTTGCTAGTTGGAATGACAACCTCTGAAGCACGAGCTCCGATTCTTTGGTTCAATTTGTCTCGGATGGTTCGATCTTCAGGTGGGTCATTCCTCCTTTCACGGTGTTGATTGTTGTTGTGGCCTTGGTAGCTCCCTCCTCCATTTTTCCTATAAGTAAAGAGATGAAACCCTTCTCTTCGTCTTGATGTCCTTTAGGAGAGGTAGTGTTGATTTAGATTGGATGACTTTTCCTACCCTCGTCTGCTTTCGGTTGTACTTACACGCCTTCTCGATTTCGTGATTTAGCGGCAACAACTCCTTAGTCTCCCGTCTTCGCATACGCCAAGAAGAAATATTCTGAACTTTTCCTATACACAAAACACAAATCAAAATAGTTCACTCAAACAAAAATTTATTAAAACTGAATTTTTGGCAATCCCCGGCAACGACGCCAAGAATTTGGTGATGACAAAACTGCAAGTGCACAGTGTCGTACAACTAATAAAGTGTAAGTAAAATTATCATTCTCTAGGGGATTGGTGAAATTCAATAATTAACACATTTAGTCCAAGAAAATATAGAAATTGCAAAGGTTGTAATCAAGTGATGAGTTGCAGAATTACTGAAATTAGCAAACTCGGAAAATAAAATATTTTGGAGAAATTAACTTTTGAGAGTTCTGGGGGAAACACAAGATTCTACTATTTACCTCGATAATTTTATTTGGCCTTGTTAATCAATTTAATCCATATTTCTACAGTCTGGATACCTCTATATTGATAGCTATCTCTACCGATAATTACCACGTACTAAAATATTAAGACAATTTTTACTATCGTAGTTAGCTGAATCAATTAATTAGCCTGAAGAATGATATCCCTAAAATGACTGCATAATTCCCTATTAATCCACTATTGCTTCGATAGACAATTATGTCGTGTGAAACATGTTCGGTTACTAGGTTTTCACTATCGTTATTAACTTAGAAAACTACAAATCATTGTGAAGATGGCCAATCAACACAAAGAGTTAAACAATTTCACACGATAGAAAATGGAGAAAAATCAAGTCGTGATTAAAACATCGAAACTAGATAATGAAATCCATAAGTTTCCCCTAGAAATTGAGGGATTAGTGCGTGATGAAAAGAAAGTACATAAACATGATAATGTTCAACATGATAACTAATTACATCAACGAAGGAGTAGAGAAAGTACTAAGTGTTGAAGTTAATCATCAACTTACAAGAGTCTTCCTTTTTTCAAAATGCTCAACTCCAAAAGTGTGTCAAAGTGAGCTCTCTCCTTTGATTTTTTCTCTCCAAAATCTCTCACCAAAAGTGTCTACTAAGGTCCCCTAGTTGTTGCCCCTTGTATACCTTTTAAGTTCATCTTCTGCAGATTTTTATCACAAAAAATAAGGCACTTACAGATCCCATTTCCAAGAGAAGGCTGCTGCCAGCTTAAGTCTTTTTCTTTGCAATAAATTTTTGCATAATTTTCTCTATTGGTGAGCCACCAAATTCACTTGCTCACTTCAAGAAAGCTGATCCAATTCCAACTATTTGTGAGGGCTGTTGACTATAGAGTGAAGATTCCAACCCATAATGGTTCGATTTGGTCTTCATCACTTTGACGTTATGCTGGGCATTTGCCACTGCATGTCTGCATTGTTCCACTGCACATGCATTCGTCCACTGCACTTTGTTTTATTCAAAATTTAAGCTTCAATCTGTGTAAATCGCTAGATGTTTTGGTAGTGACACTAGGGTCATTCCATGGTCAATATGAACTAAATTAGAGCAATTTAAACACATACATGCATAAAGATTAATCATTTATTCACAAAATACATGTATGTTTATGAAGCTTATCAAAACCCTTAGAGTTGTTAATGGATAAAAGGTTGGAGTTCCCTTAGCACTCTATTTTCAACAAAATAAAAGAAGAAATGATAGGGTACAAAATCACTCCAAACCTCAATCTAGATCATACATTTTAATCACATCAAAATGCTCCAGAATAATTATAAAAAAATTGCAAGGGGCAGATTGGTAATTTCACATCCTTGCCTTTTGGTTATTTTTATTGACACAGATTTATAGGAGAGAAGATATTTTTCTAATCTTCTATTTTTCTTAATCAGATCATATCTTCTTTTTTTTGCGTTAAATCATATCATATCTTATTTGTTTTAGCTTAAAAATTAATTTTTTTGCATAGAAATGACTCATTAATTGAGACCGCCACAAGCATGTCCATTATGCTTTTTTAGTAAAGAAATAATTTAGCTCTTTAAAGGAAGCGTTGATTATAGTATTATCATTGTCATATTTGTCACTGACTCACTCCTACTGTCACTCTATAAATTGGCCAAATGTAACCACTTCCTAAAGCGTACTATAGCAGGTTTGGGTTTTAATGTCAACCCGGGTCCTAGATTTGATGACTACTCGGTGAATTCTTGTTACATAGCAGTGAAACTTTAGTGCAAGTCCAAATTAACAAACAAACAAAGCAAGTTAAACGGTTGTTTTCAAGTCGAGAGAGGTCACCCGGATATGGTTCCCCCTAGACTGCAGTTGAGCCGAATTGCAATTTACCAAGTTTAGTTTTCATGAAAGTTATACCGCGGAAGGTTCTTAAACAGTCTGAAGTCTCG